AAGAGGAAAAGGGTGAGGAGGAGGAAGACGGCGATGACAAGGAGGAGGAGGAAGACAACTCCGACGAAGAAGAGGAGGAGGAGGAGGGAGGACATGAAAGAGACGAAGAGAAAGAAGAGAAAAGGCGATGGTTGTCTTCCGCTTCATCTTCTTCCTCCTCCTCCTGTTCTTCTTCTTCTTCTTCTTCAGCTTCTTCTTCTTCTTCGTCCTCCTCTTCTTCTCCTTCCTCTTCTTCTCCTTCCTTTTCTTCTTATTCTCCGTCGTCATCCACAGCGCCCGCCACAGGCAAGATGCTCTATGCTCATCCTAACCTCGCTGCCCTGTCCTCATCCTAACCAATCACCTACACAGTGCAAGGTGGCGCCTTTGCCTGAAGGCCGCTGAAAGGCGATGGCCGCTGGAGCTATGGCGCCAACAGGCAGCGAAAAGGTTCCTTTTGTTTTGACAAAAAAAAAAAAAAAGTTGTTCGAGGGGGTTTGACGGGTTCGGCCGATCGGCGGCCTGCGACATGGTATGGCCGCCGTAACCCGGTTTTATTTCTTTTTTTCCTTTGTTTTTCTTCTTCTTCTTCTTCTTCTTCTTCTTCTTCTTCTTCTTCTTCTTCGTCTTCTTCTTCTTCTTCTTCTTCTTCTTCTTCTTCTTCTTCTTTTTCTTATTCTTCGTCTCCTTTCTGTCTTTCTTTATTTCTTGCTTTGTTGCTTTCATTCATTCGTTCTTTGTTATGGAACTTTTTGTCGTTCTTTTTTTTTTCAACAAAAATATAACTCGTGACCCGAGGTTTGATCCATATTCGTTTTTTTTTTTTCCTTTTCTTTTCGATGGATCAGAAGCCAAACACGGAAGGCGCTTCACATCCGTGCAACCATACACACACAAAGGGGGCAGGAGAGACGAGGGAGGTGACACGGAGGTGACACGGAGGTGACACGGTGGTGTCACGGAGGTGACATGGATCTGGGGCTAGTCACCAGTGCCATCACACATAATCCCTGATGTAACCTGTGTCGGGTCAGAACACCGCCGGTACTAATCCCTAAATCCTGACGTTATCCGATATCAAAAGTCGTCATATCCTACACTGTCGCCAATAGATAAACCAATGATCTCTCTCCTCTGAAGTCGAAGTAGAAGTCCTCTTAAGTCTAAGTCCTTTGAAGTCGAAGTCAGAAGAAGAAGAGGAGGAACAACAAGAGGGCGGGGGAACTCACCTCGCAATCACCAAGTGCGCTGACCTTCCTCGCGTACTGTCGATGAAACAACGACGGCGGCCACGTGAGAGAGAGAGAGAGAGAGAGAGAGAGGCGATGGCGGCCCGCGGAGAACCCCACGTGGGTCGGTCGCGCGTCGATGCGAGATGGTCCCTCCCTCCAACCCCCCCCCCGCCCCCGCGAACCCGGTCGCCCACCACGGACCATCCATCGACGACCGCACACCACCGACCGGCCAACTGCCGCGCAACAACGGCCGTTCACGGGACCCGGTAACGTTTCCACATCGCCACCGCTGTCCACGTTGGTCCAAGGCCAAAAAAATGTCCGACCACGGAAAAAAAAAAAAAAAAAAAAAAAAAAAACCAGCAAAATAACGAATAATAAGAGTTCGTACCCACTGTTGGGAATCCACGCCGAGGCTCTGTCGACCCCCGAAAAGTTCGGGTACTGACCAGTATCGCGTAATTTCTTAACAGTGGGGAAGGTACTGATGGTTTAAGCAAAAAAAATTATGGGGGCTAGGGGTTGGGCAGTGCCGTCGCACCCCGAGGATGCCAATGGAGACCATCTCGAGTAGCTGCACCTAGTGAAAAGGTGTGTGGTCCAATGGATGATGCTTGGCCTATACACGGAAAGAAGACAAACTCTCAATAAACTCCCTGGACTGCCTACGTATTGGAAGGAGCAATTGTCAGACCTAAATGAATCGAGAAAACGCCACGAGTGATCAAAGAGCTACCATCTAGACGCGAGAGCGGAGCTACATCCCCCAATGTAAGGCCGTCTCGCAAATGGCTCATCCCCATCCATCTCAAAGCACTAGGTGGGGGTGCCCCAGGGACGAACGACCTGCGCCCTGAGCGTGAGCGCGGGCGGGTCGAGCCAAATGGGACCCGCAGTGGGGTCGACCAAGGCTCGAAAGTCCTTCAGGGTACGACCCCTACACCGACATCTCTCGACGCTCCCGACGTTCATTCGATGTGCTAAGCGTATCCGTGATACGTCTCTAAGTAAACGAGAATGTCATCCATGTAAACAATAATGCAGAAGTTGATCATGCCCTGAGTTAGCCGTGTTTTGTTGACGAAGTTATGAAATGTCACGTTCGTAGCCCGCTGAAACGTGGTTGGCGCGTTGCAAATCCCCATAGGACACCTGATCCACTGCCACGTGCCTTCAAACAAGACGAAATCCGTCTTCGGCTGATCTTCCTCTTTAACCAGTATATGATGGAACCCATGCCGAATATCAAATTTACTGAAATAATTTGGACACCCAATCGCATCCAGCAAATCATCAATCCGGGGAAGGGGATACACATCTTTGATCATGATGTCGTTCAACTTACAATAATCGATGCAAATGCGGATCGACCCATTCTTTTTCGGCACTAATACTATCGGGAATGACCATGGCCCAGCAGCGGGTTCAATCCATCCGTTCGCTTCAAATTCCCTGATTCGTTGTAAGGCTATCTTTCGTTCGGTCAGAGAGTATCGATAAGGCTTGCAATGGATTGGCAGGTGGCTTCCTGTCTCGATCTCGTGTTGTATAACCAATGACAATCCGATGTCAGTGTCCGTCACACTAATCGCTCCTTGATATTCTGTCAGAATGTCGGCGATCAAACAGTGAATCTCATTAGGTACGTATTGTGGAACGTGTAGTTCATAGGGCTGAATCAGATCCTAGATCCGTATGTCGATCTGCTTCGTGCGCACTTGTTTCGCCGCTTCGGCTGGTGGCGTGGAGATAAACGAGTGGTCCGATCACCAGGAGAACACCGTGGCCATCATCTGTGCGTCCTCTTCCCGGATGGCCACATGTCCTTCCGGGGTGATTCCATCGTAGATATCTTGCCACGGTACTGGTTTAGTTGCGATCTTGATTCCGAGCCCGTCTGATGCTGCCTCAAGACGCCAGGGGGTTCCAAAGAACTGGTTTCCGCCCCCAAGTGTAGCAAGTGTACCTCTTTTGCGGGTTGCAGCAAGGATTGTGGTAGGCCCGTAATCTCGCAGAATGGTCTTTTGTCGTTGTAACGTGTGAGGAGAGGGGTCGTTCCTTCGTACAGGGTCTGAGGGGGTTCCAAAGAATCGGCCATCCTCGAGAACTGAACGAGGGGTTCGCCCAAAATCATCGCCCGGGTCCTTCGTACATTCCTACTGGTCAGATGCATCGTTTTCGCGATCGTTCTGGGTGGCGGATAGTAAATTCGCTGTCGTGCTAATTTGGGAACCGTCGCATCCTCATCATCGCTGTTGTCCGCATCTTTCGACGATCGTTCATCGTCCGCGGAATTTTCCCAGGTGAGCACCCGGAGAGTTCCCGCCATCATCGGGGAGACTCGTGGAAGCACGTTAGCGGGGGTGCGAAGGGTCAGTCTCATAGGTATAGCATAAGGCTTTCCCCCCGTATTTCGGAGAAGAATCAATTGTCTTTCGAAGTCCAAATTGGCTCTCAAGGCGGTACAAGCGGGAAGGCCCAAGAGCACATCGTACGTATTCACATCTAGAACCACAACATCTCCCAAAGTGTGCACCTTCCCTAATCGAAATGCAATATTGGTCATTCGTCCCACTGTTTTAATCTTTTCTTCATCCGCCGAAACAAGCTGATCTTTCTCCGTAGGCATGATTAGATCATTTTTTACCTGCCCTTTCCACTACTCGTAATGAAATAGCCAGAACAGCGACTCCCGAATCAATAAGAGCGTTGTACGGATATCCCCATACTTCAATATCGCATTCCGCAGACTTCCATGGAATTGGTTTAATCCGCAGGAAGTGATCGTCTTTCTGGATTAATCCCAACCGTATTGGATCTGAAGTTCCTGCTGCGTTTTCCTCTGGCGAGGGGGTTTTGGTTTTCGTACTCGCCGTTCGAGCAAGGGCGAATCGTTTTCGGTTCGCCTTGCAATGCTGCAACATTCATTCGTTAGCCTATTCGAATATCGAGAGCAGATGACCAATCGGAAGAGGAATCCGATGGTCCAATGCTTTGACGATGTTCAGGACATCGATTTCACCGGTGACGAAGGTAGGTCCTCCCGACTTCATCTCTCCTGTAGAAGGTCGCCACTCTGCCACTTCCTTCTGTTCTGGTGCAGGTTGGATGGTTCCGATCATCCCAGGCCCCGGGTATCCAAGCGATACATACTGATCCAACGGAATGACCTCAACAGCTTCTTGCATGGTAGTCGACGCACTTCCACCACCCTCCATTTCTTCCATCAACGCACCTACCCGTCCTGGCCCATTAGCGATTGGGGCTGCTTCCATCGACGCTACCCAACCCGTTGTTGTGGGGGTCGATGGGGGCAATCTCGGGCTAGATGTCCCGATTAATGGCATGCGTAATAGACATTTACATTGTCGGCAACTCCTTTGATAGCAGCTGCAGGGGCCAGTCCTTGTTGGATTGGGGGAGCGCGTACTGCGATGGGCCGCATATTTCTCATCATAGCCTTTAATCGTGCGTTGTGTTCTCGTTGTTCCTTTTTGCTTTCCTGGATTAAACTAATTAATGTTTTGGTCAGTTCCAGGATGGCGGTTTACTCACTCGTTCGTACGAGATTTTCGATTGGTGGCGGGGGTGCTGTCATTACCGGTGCTGGAATCACAAGGACGGGCATGCCCGTAATCATGCTCGGGGGTGGTCTTTTCGGGGAAATCTGCTCCAGATAGTTGACAGGTCCTGACACGAACCCCATGTTTTCGAACTTGTTTTGCAATGCGGCCAGTTCAGCTTTGGCTCTTGCTAGTTCAGACGAGTCCCCTTCTTTCGGATAATCCTGTCCTTCTAGGAAACTCGTGACGAACTTTCGCTCCATCTCTTCGGTTGCTGCCATGATCTGTTGCAGCGTGTGATTAATGGGGGAGAACTGTTTTCGTAGTTCCGCCCTCATTGCTCTGTTGCGCAGTCCATCGATAAACAAATCTCTACCTATTTGTTCACCTCGCCCAGTTTTTACAAGCATTCGGTAGAATCGATTCCGATACTCGGTGACAGATTCGGGTGGTTTTTGAACTCAATCTTTGATCATAAATAGAGCTTGCTCCGGATGAATGTAATCAAATCGGTTTAGAAAACACCGTTCGAATATCGGGAGATCAACCCACACATAGGTACAAAAACCAATGATGGGCGTCTCCCCCCAATCGAGCAGGGATGTTGATCTGTGCCTCGTTGTCATTATACTGCTGAGCCCGGAGCGTGGCTAACCATGCTCCAACAAGATGGTGAGCGGGATCAAACAGATAAAGATCAGTCGGAGTCATGGGTGGACGTGCTCATGGTATGGGTTGAACAGGATTTTGTTGCGGGTTCGAATTTTGCGGATGATTAGGATTATGTGGGTTTTGCTGGTTAGCGTTCATGTTAACAGCCCGTCGAGCCGCAGACAGGCTCCTTGTGGCAACGGGATTGTGTCGACGCGTGTTCCGGGGTCGAGGTCGTCCCCTATTAGCCAGGTCGCCTCGATTTTGTTAGTCGTCCTACGAATCCTATGGCCCGGCCACGTGTCGGCTCCGATACCAACCTCACGCCCGACGCGACTTCCTGATCGGAGTGGGATGTGGGCCTGGAAGTGCGAAAAGGGTTGTGCCAAGGATTTTTGGAAAGTGAGGGTGGAGTCCCAGGTCGGAATTGGGATCTCCTATAGCAGGGCTCAGGGGCATAGGTGCAATATGGTCGAGGGACGGTTTAGGGGCGGGGGTATTCGTCGGATAGGCCGCAGGTCTAGAGATGGCCCACTCGTGGGGGCCGCGAAGTTTCCGGGTCAGGTCTTCGAGAGTGGACACGTGTCGGTTGCCGCCGCGAGTTA